GTAACCTACTGGTTGTCAAAGTAAAAAGCCTTCATATAGCTTTCGCCTAGTTTCACTCGCTTTTAGAAAATTAATCGCTGTTGCAATTTAGCAGCCTTCTATCTTATTTTTAATTTAAATGTAATTCAGAAAGTCTTACGCGAGTACTCGTGCAATAGGACACTTGACGGATTAAAACGACATAACTTAACGCCGCATTTAAATAGGAATTTAGTCACAATTAATATATTTCCCGGTTTTGAACATGTTACAATGAAACTTTAATTGATTGGAAAAGCAACGAAACTCGAACCAAGTGATGAAAATCGTAAGGATTAAGAAAATTCGAAACACAAAAGCCAACCGCTTGAGCAACGGAACGCTATGGTCGTAGGGACGTAGAGTTGATTCCTGCCCGTGTCGTCTTATCTTAATCTTTATTAGTATTGAAAAATAAAACAAAGCATATATTTCATTCATTTATTAATCTAGTGTTCATTAACACAACGTACCAACTAAGTTTTGGTTCAGTCGGGAACTTAAAAAACTAAATACTAGATTTTGGTACTAGATAGTTCTAAACAAGCACCGCAGCGCTTAATATAACATTGTATTGTAGACATAACTGATGTAGTCATTCGTGATACTGAAAATGTTGTTCCGAAGTTTTAAAAACGTAAAGGCGAAATAACTCGACCACATCTAAACAGAAATGCTGTCGACCTAGCTGAAAATTTGGAAACACACAGATTAAAATAAACGGAGATACGCGATCGGCTTTACATCTGTGAACTTTAACATGACCTTCTTACCTTGTTATTACATCAGTTATGTCTACCATAGTATCTGTAGTTTACACGAGTAGTACATATTTAAATAAAACACTTTAACGGTTTAAAACGCCAATAATAAAAGTTAACTTATTTTAATTCAATTTATCTACGGCCCGACGTTCCGGGTGCTCTGCAGCAGCCGTGGTCACGGCTGAAAAGCAAACGTCAAAAGCACGGCAAAAGTCAAAACTGTTACTCTAGCGCCATCTGTTTCATAATAGTTGGTATTTGGAGAATCTCACGTTGTCCTCTTGTTGATTTTGGAATCCAAATTTCAAGATGATATGTTGAGACTATCGCATTTTAAACCATTAAAAATGTTTCATTTAAATATGACTACCACACCATAGAACTCCTAAATCAACTATCCTTTCATATGACATAGATACATGGCTAGATCAAAACATATGGCTCATTCAATACATATTTACAAATCAACTAACGCTTTCAAACATTTTAGTTTTACATGCAAACAAAACTACAAGAAGTGCAGTGCTATATCACAGGATATTATTTTCAATGTATTTGTTTTTTTATTTTAATAAATAGTGGCCAAAATCGCAGACTGACAGTTATATGATACAGGTAAAAACCGGTAAATTTATACACGACATATGTACACCACAGCACAAGAAACCTGTGTCACGTTTTTACCGGTTTTCCACACAGACTATAAAAACCGATACACCGCATTGACAACTGTTATTCTACGGTACCCTTCTACTTTACAATTTAAACTCTTGTTACAGAAGTGTCAAGAAACAACGCGTTTTAATCCTGCCATAGCGGACATTTTAAATAACATAATTATATAGTCGTTGGAGATAAACTGAATTGCTTCACACATGTCATTTGTTTAAGACCATTTAAGATGAGTTTCCGAGCTGTTCGTCGTTATTGAGAAATTCTCGACATTTCGTCGTCAGTAACGATGGCTGTTGCCAAAAAGTCGAGAACTATTTCTTAATTACGACGGCCAAACTCTAGCCTTTATACACACTTTTAATCGGTTTATATAGATACGAAACTAAATATTCTTTTAATATTATGAAATTGTCGACGCATACAATCATTCTGAACTCGCAAGTCCCATTCTAGTTGGCATATGTTAAATACTGACTAATTCATTAATATTGTCACATTTTAAATGCCTCTCAAGCAAAACCATATTGAGTTCTTATTCTACATATTTACATTGATTATAAGCTACCCCAGTAAGAATTATGTCCTGAGACGAATTCCAAAAAAAAATACACGAATGTACATTGGAATTCTAATAACAAAGACGATTTTTTTTTAATGTAAAAATACATTTATTCCTTTCGCATTATTATAAAGCGTTCGATTTGAAGTGGCGAATCATTCTTTTTTTTATCTCTTACGAAAATATTATAGTTTATCATTGTTTGTCGGGCTGTTCGCCCGACGTAAGCGAGAAGAAGTTCTCGAGTCCGCTCGTGATGGCGAAACGTCGAGAACCGGTTCTCGCTTACGTCGGCCTAACAGACAGAAAAACAATATGCTGATGAACGATGGCCGAGAAAGCCTTACACATACTTACACTTATTTCAATTGCCTTACTACCTTTACAAGTTAGAAAATATTTCACGAAAATCTGGTGAGTTACTGAACACATTGTTTATATGTACTAGGCTGATGTAACGTAAATAAAATCACAATACTAACAAGCCCCTTAGGGACCCTCCATAAATTATGTCACATCTCAGGGTCGTAAATGGTGATATACCGCTAACTAGAAGGGAAAGGGAAGGGTAATTATTTAAAAAATCTAGAAGGCTTTATATTATATAAGTTTTGAAGGGGCCGGGCGGGGGGGTTGGTCGTTAGGGTTGCCAATGGTAGATACTATAATATAGTGTTGTACTATATTTCGGATCTGCGTATATATGCTATATACAATTAAATATATTCTTAGTACTCCTAAATGTAACAAATCTTTATCTTTATTGTTCTATATCATTTTTCGTGGAGAACTATATTTTTAGACATGTACTATATTATTTAATTCAATTCTTACTATATTAGCGAAAAAAAAGTTGGAAACCCTTGGTGTAAAAAATATTGCACGCGGCGTACTTTCACTTTCTTTTAGTCAAATTTAAAATACATTATTCCTTATTCTGCTTGAAGCCCCAAAATTATAACAACAAACTAACATCGCACTAGGAAGGGTAAAAATGGGACAGATACAGGGTAGGGATGAAAATAAATGAAGTTCGTGGGACACAGCTTATGGATGGACCCTTAAAATTTATCTTATACTTTTATTAAACTTAACATAATGATTTTGTTTCAAATCAAGAATAATTTTGTTCTTTGGTTACATAATGAGAATTATATTTTTACACACGACGGAAAAAATAAAGAAAACTTGAGTTACTTTTGAGCTAAGTAGCTCAAGACTAGCTAATTATTATTGAAACATAGTTTTCCATATGTTTATGTTAATATATTTTTCACATTCAACATATATATACAGAGCTTAAATGAATATATTTTTTATTATTTATATTGGATGTTAGAGCAGTGGGCCGCGAACGAATGCAATATAGAATTTTATTTGAGAACAAAAAAATACCGAAAAATCTCGATATTTCTGTAATCAAATCATTTTGTTCAATGAAGCGGAAGAACGAATGGTTCCTAGCTACCTACATACTGTATCAGTGTACATATTACGAACGTTGGAACGAATCTTTGTTATTTTGTCATAATAAAAAAAATAACTTGTAAATTGAATATCTATTTAGGTTGAATAAATTCGATAACACAGGCGGGACTTGAACTGGCATCCACAGCATTCGGGCTGTTATAAAAGATTAAGCTACTCTGTCACATATGTCATAATCAAATTTCTTTAACTCATTGATATATGCACCTCGGTCATGTCTGTCCGTGTCAAATTTTTTTTAGATTTTTTAAATTTGTAAAATGCCAACAGTGGAAAAAAACACGAACTAATTAACATAATTATGTTATACGACCCGGATGTTTTTTATTGGAGTCTCTAATATGAAGATCAAAAATGCTACACTAGCTCCATCTGTTATATCGTATAAGCAGACGAAATTCGCCATAACTTTAAAGTGCCTACTATTTACTTATCACACCGAATATTCGAGTTCGTCAGCCCACCAATCAAACCTTTGATCAAAATAATCCTAAAATTTCGTTGGGTAAAAGAAAAACTTATATTCTACCCTATTATAACAAATTTATTAAATGAAGAGTTAGATGCCGAGTTGAGTAAAATTTAAAACCTACCTACCTACTTCACTATAAACTTACGATTAAGACTATACATTCCAATATGTACTTCTATCAATAAAAATTAATTTATATGTACATGTTACACGAAGAGAAAATAGCTCCATCTAATTACAAAAACTTGAATTCTAGTAAGACCAATTGTTTGGACCAAATTTGACATATACAACATGTCACATCACAATACCACTAATGTCAAAAGTGGTCTTAAACAACGTTTACTTCCTACACACAAGCATATAATAAACCTCCTTTGTACAGAATATAAAAAGCTGTCACTGAAATGTTTTACAAAAATTAAATGCTAATATTGAATGTATACAGCGACGGTGACTAGCGGATACACTCGACCTTAACACCTACATCCGATGGTCGATTTTGCATCGTCAAGGTTAGGCCGTGGTCAACTATAAACCCAGATCGCATACAGCGTAGAAACAGAAATATTGTTGTCTCTTTCACACGTCTATTGTTGTTTCTTTCTCGCCGCGTCCTCTAATTTGACGAAAGCAGTGTAGTCACTATTGATGTTAACAGGACGTAAAATATCAACTAGTTAGCAATATGTTTTAGTATAATTCTAATAGATTAAAAATCGATTATAAATAGGAAAAAAAACGACACGGCAGGGCCTAACCCGGCATCCACACATGTTGCTCTACCCAATTGAGCTGCCGACCGTGTCCTATACGTCATCTTCGAATTTTTTCACACATGATAATATAAGTATAATCTTTGGCGAAGAGCGTTTATAGGAGACCACGGCCTCATTTAAGCAATCTTCTTTCAAGTTACTCCGCTATTTTACTTAATATAAACGGCACATCCTAGCTGCAGAGGTAACATAAGTCAAGCGATAACCTGCCAAATAGTACTACACCTAGCCGCGACCTTATCATTTTATTTGCCTTTATATTTTTCTGTCGTCGCGTCTTCGAGATTCGAGTCCCAATCGAACTCAGTAACGCCGCTACGGGGCGCCACTTCACCCAGATGTCGCCACCGAAACTCGAAATCGCTGTCTCGTTTTCTCAGCGCTTCGAATCTGAAAAAATAAAACTTTAGTACGCAGAACAACACAACAAGCATTTTTCTTAATAAAAAGAGTAACCCCGTTTCCCTCCCTGGGGCATGGGGTGAACACTTTCCTGTGCCCATTTTTGTGGACGGTTTTGATAGACAAGTAGTTGACTAGACTTATGTGCCCTGCCCGAATAAAGTATCATGATATATTGGGCATCAAAATGTATTTTTGCAAACCTCCTCCTCGTCCTGTTACGCGTTCCGTCGTTTTTGCAACTTAATCGTAAATTCAATTCGAACTAGTACTTTCCGAGATAAATGAGTTCAAACAAACAAAGTCTTCAGCTTCATAATATTAGTATCGATAAATGATATCATATATTTACTATTTTCGTTATTTTAAAAACATTGGATAACTTAACTAAATGACATAAAAAACTTAATGTGGGACCACATTGGACACTGTGAAATATATTAAACAGATTTAATATCCAGATTTCCAGACGAAGTGCAACATCTTTCATGGCTTAGAAACATATTACACTCGGCGGGAATCGAACCCACGAACCGTTGGTTATTAGCCATACATGGCTGCCATTAGCTTTTAAAAACCATGGAACTAAATACTGTCTATAGTTTACGCGAGTAGTACACATTTAAATAAAACACTTTAACGGTTTAAAACGCGATATATTAGTTAAACTTATTTGAAAATGATTTTTAACTTCGGCCCGACGTTTCGGATGCTTTGCAGCAGCCGTGGTCACGGGACGAGACCGTTTAAAACCGATAAAGTGTTTTATTTAAACCATGGAACTATGGAGACGGTCAAACAAAGCGAAGGGCATACAGTAGTTATCGCTTGAAGCAAGCCGCCAGCGATTATATCGCCACTCGACGTTGCGGTAACTGTTCTAAGTGCAGTTAAACGCTCTTTTGATTAAGACAGAACCGTCGTTAATCGAAATGAACGAAGCTTATGTTACAATTAGTGAAAGACTATCCTCGACTAATTAGAGGAATGTTTATGAACGCTAAGTATTCAAATCTATATATTAAACATTATTTATACTGATCCTACGACTGATAAACAGATACACGAAGTACAGCTTAAAAAAAGTTATGGCGTTCAAAAGCGTACCTACACTTACCTACACGAATACCTTTTATTACTTTGACTTTTTACTAGAAATGAAACACGTGTAACAGTTTAAAACGCGAAATGTATTATTTAAACTTATTTATGGTCACTGTGGCCGCTGCAAAGCATCGAAACATCGTAAACGTTTTAAACCGTTCGAATTGTTTTTAAATGACTTTATCTCTATTTACTTTGTGTGAAAGAACAATTTAATCTTATATCTCATGGACGAACGCGTAAATTTAAAGTGTTATAATTGGGGGCACCCTGTATATTGAATTATTATAATCTGTATGGCCATGACACAATGTATTTGCATGTATAAGGAGCGAGATCGTGCATGCGCGAGCACGTGCGACGGTTACAAAGTCGCAATGTCATTAACTTGCAAAGGGCGGCGAATTACATAATGAAGGAGAATATTAAATGCCCGTTGAATGCAATGACGTGAATTCGCGTCCAAATGAGCTGGTGACGGATTAAATTATAGATCTTGAGATGAAGATCTGCTTACTGCCTCGTTAGTATAGTGGAAAAGTATATAGCATCTAAACTAACTACTATTACTACTATACTACTAAAGGTTGTCGACCTATTTTACCGAAAACCGAAGTCTAAACACACACTGCTGGGGTTTCGGATGGAATTTAATTAGAAACATGTTGACTCCGATGGGAATCGACTCGTTGATTTTTTTTTAATGCTAGGAGGACAGATGAGCATGGTATTCACTGATTATTAGGTATATATCTATACTTATATATTCCTCTTTAAACGATCTAAAAAAGTGTCCGCGACACTGCATGTCTATATTTTAAGATTTACTCGCAAGAACGATGGGATCCAACCGACGTCGCGGGTATCAGCTTTAATTTATAAGGACAAAGAGGAGGTTCAACTATTCGTTGTGGACGAAGTCGCTGACACAGCTAGTATATAAAACGACGAAGTTACCTTTTAAGCATGAGGTTCTTGGCGAACTCGTACAGCTCCAGGTCTAGGGAGTTTAGCTGCTTGATGTGCGCGACCTGCGCAGGCGACAGTGCGGCGAGAGTGGCGCCTGACACTGTCGCGTTGTGCTGCGTGAACGGTACGGCGAAGCGTAGGTTGAACGTCTCTTCGAAAACGTACTGCGAGATCTGCAAAAGAGTTCTATATTAGTTGATAATGAACCAGTATTACATCAGGATCGAACTCAAACCCTTCAGTCAGGAAGCTCCCATTTACTATTGGCCCCAATTCTTATAGGAGCTCGGACACGTTATAACTGTGAAATGATCATGGTGTTAAGGAGTGGCAGCGAGTTTTTTGCCAGTTCTTCTCGTTCGTTCTACGACATTGGGAACAAGTGGAAAATGTAAATTTATTCATTAGTTTTTAGCTGGTGTGACGTGCATAAGTGCACCTGCGTATTACCTACGTGAATAAATGATTTTTGACTATACATTTTTATTTACTGAAATGTATTAAAACATGCCAATAAGTGCCCAGCGTCTGCAAGAAGCTCAGCTTATGTTGTGGTACCAAAAGGAGCCACAACGCTGTTATTGTGCCAGCCCCAAACACGTTAAACAGTTAATTGTAGACGCGTTTTAAATCGTTAAGCTTAAAGGCTGATAGATAAATGTAATTCTTCTTTCTTTCAAATGAATTAGGATGTTCAGTATGCGGTGCGCTTTATTTATTCCGATGTGCATAGAATATATGCGCAGTAACAATAGTGAACACGAACTTATGAATATGCAAAACCACTTATCAGTATTAAAATAATAATTATTTTATGGCGTATATTAATTCCGACATTTTCAAACACGAGTACAGCGAGACCTAGATAATTAGTTTAATGTTTAATTATTATAAATACCTAATAAATAGAGTAGTACATTTAAATAAAACAATATAACGGTTTAAAACAACTTATTTGAAAATTATTTTAATTACGGCCCGATGTTTCGGATGCTTTACAGCAGCCGTTGTCAGACTGACAGTGTCTCCGTCTTCTTTTAAAAAAGGAACCCTCTTAACAAGACTTAGCTGTTTTATCTGTCTCACGGGCACGTAAGTCTAATGGAAGGAAAGTCAAATAACGGTTCGTAGCTTCGATCCCCACCGAGTCCAGTTTCTAATCATCATATAATGTTTCCGAAACATATTGGACTTCGTCTGGAAATTTGGATATTAAATGGGTGGTAGGAATATAGAAATTTTTAAATGTGTTTCAGTCTGTGGATTTCCGAATATTAAAATCTAAAATAGGTTACTTTTAAAGTTTAGTTTAGTTTAGTTCAATAAAAAGTTTATAGCTGTTGGATACTCGTTCTCTCCGGGGATCACTGAAAACCGGCGCTTCTCCTCTACTCTTGGGTGGTGAAGCACATGCTGAGTGCTTTCCCCCATTTCCACAACCACCTTCTAAGATTATTTCTATCTTCCTCTTTTTTTAGTGAAGTTAAATATAATAGTAGTAATTAAGCTAAGGTATGGTTTGAGTTTGAGTATATCACTTGAGGTAAAATGGAGTGTTTTACCTTTCATCAAGTGAACTAAACGAAGCTTTTAAATGGTGTTGTTTCTGAATAAACGGATTTCTATTCTCTTCTATATAAGATATTTCAGTCACAATACAAGCGCATAGATCGTGTTATGCACTACGCAGTGAATCAAGCTTCCCAAATTACAATAAATTGAGCGATGTCTAGATATAACAATGAAGACCGTGCTAGTGGCAGCACAGTCGACAAATGGACGCGCAGATATGAGCAAAGTGAGGCTCTTTTAAGACTACATTATAGCTTGAGCACGAAAATATCGCATCGTACTAATTGTGAAGATTATGTTAAGTCTTAATGTATAACATTGCTATGAAGAAATGTTTATAACAAAACGAAAGTAAGTTGGAATGTGTAATCTTATGAACGGACAAAATGATTTAAATTCAAAAATAAAAAAATAGAATTTGAAGAAGACATCAATTGTATTTGACAACTTTAATTTTTCACACAATGGCCTTATATAAATTAAAATTGTATTTAAATTTAAAGAAAAATACGACACGAGCGGACTTGAACCGGCACCCACATCGTTACGTGCGTTATTTTTCGTATTGTCTATTTAAAAAACACAATTATATAAATGAATAGTAATTTTTATGTAAGTATTGCTAGTATATTATGGCGTAGTCTGACAAGAGCTTTAAGCGCAAATAATGGCACTTATCTCCCGTCAGGGTCACTGGACTCGAACTCCTTGACTAGACATTAGCCGACCTACTTACATAACTACCATTAAGGGTGGTGTCGTAAAACTATGATGGATCGCTTCTTTGCACATTTTGTTTTGCACCCAAGTTAGTTAGGTATTTATCATAGCTAGAGATAGGCCAATGCGGTTTGAACCGAAACCGAATTTCGTTTCCGCATCCGGAAATATATAAATAGTGGTTTGCGTTAAAACGCTTGTTTCTTGTTAATTTGTATTTTATTTTAATCAATATAAAATTAAAAATCGATTTAATATTGAAAACAATTCAACGGGACGCTGTGGATGCCGATTCCTGTTCGTGTCGTAATTTTTTTTCACTGTAAAATTTATGATTTTTATTTCATACTATTAAAATAATTATATGATGGCATTCATGTGAAATAACGTGTGAAAAGTATTAAAGTCTTCAAATATGCAAATTAAAATAATATTGTAATATATGATTTGTGAATTAAATGTAATTTTTACCTTATTTAATAATATCATACTAAAGCATTTTTCATTAATATTGCAGTGCTAAGCGCGGAAGGTCCTGCACTCAATGCTAAGTAGGTTTAATAGTGTCAGTGGGGTTGAGGGTAGACTTCAAAAGACTGGACAATTACTAAGTAGTCAATAAATTGTAAAGGCACATAAATTTGTCTGCCCTGTGTCACATAATGAAACTTAGTCCTCGCACTCAATTCGGATAACTTAAATGAACTTCAAGCTGTCGAAATTCGGTTGCGGTTTCGGCCCGTCTCTAGAGCGAAAATGTTTATGGCGACTTTTATGCATAATGTATTCGGTCTAACAGTGAGCTGTACTGAGGCATTAAACTAAATGTATTGTGAAAATATTCGCATCGCTGCCTTTTGGCTTGCGGTAGTTGTAAATAACATGCCATAACACAATATGGTATTACTTGAAGGCTTAGTTTTCAATGGAATCAGAGTTTAAAGTTTAAAACGAGAAATATTTTTCTCGTTTTAAACTGTTTAACGTATTAATTTATTTTTAATTACTACTGCGCACTTTGTCAGCAAGCCTTATTCAATAAATAACTCACTTTTTACGGCTTAAAATGCTATGTATATAGTTTTTAGTTTACGTATTTTTTAATTACTCATCTAGAACCCAATATAGATTACATATAATTCACGTCTGAAACCGTTAAAAGTGTTTTGCTTTAAAATAATCAATTCAATTATGATTACTTTTATCATTAACACATATATATAAATTAAAAAATATAAAAAAACATTGAAAAAAGGTACGACTCGGACGGGACTTGACCCGGTTTTGTCAGCGTTCCGTGCCACTACTACTAACCAATTGATCTACCTAGTCCTACACACAATCGCTAACTCTCTATGTAATTTCAATCTTTACTCTTGCGTATTAAGGTTCAATGTCTCATGGCTTACACCTTAAGAAAATCATTGGAATATATCAAAGTTTTAAAATATTAACAAACCTTTTGAAATTCGGTGAGGCCGAAATACGCCATGGCAGCCAAGTTTCGCTTAGCGGACGCCAGGAGCACCCTATCGGTATCGGGGTTCCGATGTCGTAGGGTGCCGTTGTAACAGCCCACCAGCGCCAAATCGGCCAGCATCCGCGTCTGTCGGTTGTTGGCCAGGTTCCACGGGCAGGCCGTAAATTCTTCTAGGGTGACTCCGCGCCAAGAATCGCCCGAGTAGCACGAAGGGACTTCGGTCCCTGGAACAATGATATCCGTTTAACTGACAATCTATATCTAATTACTTGCCTTAAATTAAACCCTTTTAACGGTTTAAAATGTGAAAGATATAGGATAATTAAGTTAACCGCTAGCCTTCGCGGACCTGTTATAAATACTTATATTTCGCCTATATTATAATTAAAGTATATTAACCAATGACGTATTTGAACAATCTTTTAAAGTTGAAATATTTGACGGAAACAAAATTTTATAGTTAAACACCATTTTCCATATTCCTACGTCCTATTTAATATTCAGGGCTCCAGAAAAATAACAAATATATTAAAAACATGTTACACCCGGCGGGGGATCGAATCCAGGACCCAATGTTTGTAGCCATACATTGCTAAGATTGGAACAGCGAACCAAATTCCAGCAAGAGACGCATTGTAATGAGCCGGTTGTATAAACATCGAATGAATAAGTAATGCCTAGACGCTTTCCCCACGACAATGCTGTGGCACTTATTACATTTTTTGAATATAATATCGTGTGAAGAGGACGCGTTTGAAACTCATGTTAAAATGTTAGGGATTTTTCTCGAGCATACTCGGAAATTTGAGCATCATTTGAAGGATTCGTTGGTTTAATGGTAGCGATGTCTAATAATCGATAGATCGTGGGTTCGAACCCCACCGGGGTATATGTTATTATTTCAGTAAATTTGTTATTTATAATTTTTCTGAAAAGATAGAAATTCGGATATTATTTAACGATCCTAAAAATGGAACGATCTTCTACTCCGCAACATAGCGACTAAAGAGGTAACCTTATCAAAGGTTTTATGTAATTTTCGAACTGGCTTGCACGTCACCTTCTCATACGCGACTCCTTAAAGCATGGCAACAAATTTTGATTTATTTAATTAAAATTTGGAATTTTATATTTTAAATGATGAAAAAGCATCTCAAGTCTCATTTTGACATACGATTTTAAAAAATCTCACCTGTCGCTGTCCGTCCTTGACACCAGTGCCGCGAGCCCTTCCAGGTGGCTCCACGCTTCACGTGTCTGTACTCCGATAAATATCTGCCGAAATGATGATCACTCACTCATATAAGATGCTTTCATGCGTTTTGACCGCTTTTGTAGTCGGTTAAACATTTTACCTAGCATTACGTTAAGAGGGAGAGATCCTAGGTTCGAGTACCGGGCAAACAATTGATTGTATTGGTCTGGCAGGGCACAGAAGTCTGATCAATTTGCCTGTACAAGAACCGATCAGGGAAACGGCAAGGACAAGTATATGCTCCCTACCAATGTAGTGATACTCATTCCCCCCCCCCCCCCCACACAAACATGTCTTATGATAAGTCAGCACATGGTGCGTCATGATTTCACTACATTTAGCTCCAACCGTTTATTTCCTTTTAAAACCTAACCTAACTGACTAACCTGGATACTGGCTCACGGAGTAACGTGATGTAAAAGTACCGCCTGTGAACAGCTGAGCCCTCGTGCCGGTCCAGCTCGCCTCCGACGCAGGCTGTGAGCTCCGTGAAGTCTGCATGAAGACCACACCTTTGGACAAAGGAATAATTTTGATAAGAATAGAATCAAGGGTAGTTGGTTTTTTTAGTTATTGTTTGTAGTTTACGCGAGGCATACACATAAACAATTTTCGACGCAAATTTAATAAAAAATATACTTTTAAAAGCTATTTTAGTAAAGCATGTAATATGTTTGAAATTAAACCATTTAATTCGCGACTAATAAAATATCAAATAACCATTCCACCTGATATTTTATTACAAGTAATCGTTATGACGGTTATAGTAATTATTAAATACATAGGTGTAAATAAAACATTTGTAACGGTTTAAAACACTTAATATATTAACTTATTTTTATTTAATGTAACTACGTTTCAGACGCTTTGCAGTAACCGTGGTCACGGGGAACACAAATAAATATAAAATAAGTTAACTAATATATGTCACGTTCTAAACCGTTAGAAGTGTTCATTCGAATGTTTTCGAAATTGAGTTTAGGAACACACTGGACCCGGTGGCAGCCACCCATTGCTACCATAGGAGAAAGAGTTCCAAAACTATTATAACATAATAAATATTGAATATCCTGTGATGGAATGTCGATAACATGTGCCAGAATGCTTATAATAGCGATCAGGCAATATTGTCAAACTGTATGGCGTCGTCAAGCTTATCTATTGCAGATTCTTAACTTTGAGCAGTTCAATTTATACTATATTGCTGGAAATACCTTCTAAGATGAAATATTTATTTCTTTATTTAGATAGGTTCATCAATGTTATATTACTTGCTACATATATTACCGTTTTTAAACTATTGTAATAAAACAATTTAAGGTTTAAACTTGTTGTTATAAACGAGTACATAATATGTTATATAATTATGTAAATAAACTAATATACCACATACTGTGTATAGTTTACGCGAGTAGTACACATTTAAATAAAACACTTTAACGGTTTAAAACGCGATATATTAGGTTAAACTTATTTGAAAATTATTTTTAACTCCCCATCTTCCCGTGACGGCACGGCTGCTGCAAAGCATCCGAAACGTCGGGCCGAAGTTAAAAATAATTTTCGAATAAGTTTAAATAATATATCGCGTTTTAAACCGTTAAAGTGTTTTATTTAATATACCGCAGACAGTTCTTTTGCCATATGTAGTACTAACTTTCTTCGACTTTGACCGCGTAGAATTATTGTTTTGGTCATAAAAAATTGTCTCTGCAAACCTCCTGTTCAAGTCTATACACTTAAACTGTTAGACAAGACGCCGTCCGCGTCCCGTCGTTCTTGCAAGTTAATCTTAAAAGATATGCTTATACTGTCGCGGGCATTTTTTTTTGCTATCTTGAACCGCACGTAACCGAAGCCGCAAAGATGAATAATTTATCCCGTTTTATCCACATTTCCCACTATTTCTTCGCTCCTATTGTTGGCAGCGAAATTTTTTCGCCTAAACCTTAAAATTAAATTTTCCCTTTTAACCAGTATTTCCTGAGATTAGCGCGTTCAAACAAGCGAACCCTTCAGCTAAATACAGTTAGTATAGATGTTAACTTGGAACAGTAACGGTTGCTGCAAAGCATTCGAAACATTAGATCGTAGTTATTATATCACGTTTCAAACCGTTAAAAGTGTTTAATTTAACTGTGCTATTATCCTGAACCCAATACTAAATTTTATACTTGCTTCTACGAAAAGTATCTAAAAATTTCACGAAGTTACACACGCGCCGTCCAAAACAGTTGCGCGAAAATGGGAAAAAGCAAATCCCGGAACAAAGTAACAGATGTAGCTTTCTGTTGGCGTGTTGTGCCAAACTATCTGCGGCTCACGCTTCACTTCACAGCAGACCAATGTGTTCTTAAGCCGCACTAGATTTATTCCTTTAAAGACAGTATTTCCTTTATAAAAATGCTGCCTACAGCGATTTAAAATGGAAATTTCGTGTCGTGTGTAGCTTGTAAAGCATTAATTGTAGTGTATACGAATAATACACATTCAAATAAAACAGTTTTAACGGTTTAAAACGTGAAAAATAATAGTTGCACTACGATCTGACGTTTCGGATGTTTTGCAACAGCCGTGGTCATCTATACTAATTTATAAAGCTGAAGAATTTGTTTGTTTGTTTGAACGCGCTAATCTCAGGAACTACTGGTTCGAATTGAATAATTATATTTGTGTTAGATAGCAAAAACATCGCGATGTGACTTATAGGAGTGAGGACGTAGCGGGGAATGGGGAATTCATATTTGTGACTTTTCGATGCGTACGCTGCGAAAACGGTTCAACATACGCAAACAACGTGTTTCAAAGAATGATTCCTGTTTAAATAATTTTTAAGAATTTCCGCACCCCTCTATGTGTGACGTCGTGGGTAACATTGTCCTATTATAAAGACGTAAAGAAAATTTGCAAAACTTATTTTGATGCCCCAAATACCTACTCTACGCGGACGAAGTCGCTGACACAGCCAGTTACTTGTTTAACTTTGAATTAACCTTTTCTAAGCATTGTAAAGTAGTCCAATTATGATAATTGACTAGGTAAAGATAAGACATGCAGCGACAGGTTCACCTTCAGACGGCACGGCGTCATCTGGCGTGGGCGAATTATGAATAGAAACACGCTTATCGTGTATATTACGACTTTTAAAGGTGATCGCAGAACATTTATTATGTCGGTAGATGAACAAACAAACAGCGCGTACGATGCTAACAAATATGCGATTAGCTTTAGTTTGTGTAATGTGGGTTTGCGCGAGTAGGACACGTTTAACATAAGTGTTTAAAACGGCAAATATATTAACGTATTTTTAATGTATTTTAACTACGACCTAACGTTTCCGTGTCCGTTTTAAAGATCGGATTTTAATTCAAAAGTAAGTCGGTGGAAAATTTTAATATTTTTCACATGTTACCACAAGATGGCACTAGGTAAATGAAAAATCGATTATATATATCGTGTCAGACACGGCAGCTCAATTGGTTTGATACACCGGATGCCGGTTTAATAACTAAATAATAAATGGTCCAACCTTTATACCCTGCGCGTTCGAAACACTTCTCGCGCTTAACGCCACACGTTTAACCATTTCCACCATCGGAAAATAGACAAAAATATATTTTATGCTTTAAGCTTTAAAAATTACAACTTAATATCATCGACATTTAAAGATCATCTGTATATTGTATTATGGTGTTATAGGGCATTCATATCCGTTGCTAGATCAGGTAATACATATAGAAATATATGCAGTAAATATAATATAGAAATAAACTTAACAAAGTTTAGAATTTTTAAATTTATTTTAAATTCCTGATACTTATTTAAAATCTAACCGCCATCAACGACCAGTTAAGATTAGATTTTGCGCGTGATTCGCGCTTCCTCAAAATCCAACTCTTACTCGTAAATCATTTCAAAACTCGATGCCAACACGTCCCACAATAATTGCAGTATTTATAACCAGTGAATACTTGCAAAGAGATCGCATAAATAAAATCCCATTTTAAAATGCCTTCTCAGTCCCCACATACGAGCGAGTACATCAAAACAAATGTTTTCAAACGAAGGAAAATCTCGGTTGGCAAGTCGCCATACACACTACATTGTCATCGAAGCAACTATCGCGTACAGTTTATCATTTTAATGAAATGGTTTCAAATTACAAATTATACGTTTCCCTTCATATTTGAAACTTAATAATAGGGGTCGCCCCCAATTATAATTATAAAATTAAATGAAGCGGCTACAATAGTGTTATACAACGGTTATGCTTTGTCCAAAATAGGAAGGTAAGTTTGTTAATTACGATGGTGTGTTGTTGTTTGTGAATGTGTTTAATGTTGTGTATATTTCTAATTATTGTACATAAACAATGCTATGTGTAAAAATCGAAAATAAATTGAAAATTTTTTCGACTCGGCCAGGACTTGAACCGGCATAGTCAGCGTTCCGTGCTGTTGCTCTTCCGAGTCGAAAATTTTTTCAATTTATTTTTGTTTTTAAATTATATGGTGCCTTCATGTGCAATAACGTGTAAACAGTATTAATGTTTTCAAATGCTATGTGTATTAATTGTAGTATAATGTCCTATCGTTTTATCTATATATATTAAAGTAAGACCACAGTATATAGAACGCAAGAACAGTTGGATATTGATGAAGAGGTAGTTTAGAACCAAGAGATTGGCTTTGTATGTTTGAAGAGACACAGACTCAAACCAAAACGCAATTGCAATTTACAGCTTTTCATCTGTGGAGAGTGGTTCGTGACCCAGGCGGAATTTCCATGATCACTATCACCCATTTAATTATAAATAAAAACCTATTGTTTCAGAAAAAATATAAATTGATTAGGCAGATGTTAGACCTGGTGGGGATCGACGCTCGACACGTTGACTATTAAATACTGTCTATAGTTTACGCGAGTAGTACACATTTAAATAAAACACTTTAACGGTTTTAAACGCTATACGAACGAAACGGGTCACAGTCTCCCCGTGACCACGGTTGCTGCAAAGCATCCGAAACGTCGGGCCGAAGTTAAAAATCATTTTCAAATAAGTTTAACTAATATATCGCGTTTTAAACCGTTAAAGTGTTTTATTTAAACGTTGACTATTAGCTATTGCTACCATTAGACCAACGACCAACGTGTTCGAAAAGTACTTTGTGTGCTTTGATATCAGTTTAAATTGAGAAAAGGCAACAATTATTTAAAAATAATACCTTACAATAAGAAGTCCCTTTGAAGCGAGACATTTTTTTTGTACACATTATGGTGGGTGTATTATATCTTTGGATATTCAAAAACTCAAAATAAGTCGACGTTAGGATTTAGCGATCCAAAAGTGTTTATTTATTTATATCAAAATAAATAAACAACTATGGTTCGTAAAAAAATCTTCAATAAAATTTCTCTCAAATTTAATGTCACAAGTACAAATTCAGAAACGTTGAATGTCAACTGTCGAGATGAAGTTGATTCGGGCAAAGTTTACTCGAAAACTTCCCGA